TTATTCACATTCAAATTGGATTGAAATGGGTAAAACTAATATTAATACTCTTATTGGAAATAACGAAAATATTGGTTCAGTTGCTGGTCCAAATCAAGCAACATGTTCAAACAATGGTTGTACAAGAATAGAAAAGCAATGCGTAAGCAACATAAATATGGAAGGATATTTCAAAAGTTTTGACCCTGTTTGTGAATAGATTTTACTTATATCAAATATTTTTATGGTTAGTTGATTACAATATACAGTTTTGTAGAGAATGAGACGAACTATCATCTGAAAAAATAATGATTAGAACGATGTTGAGATTATGCAAAGTTCTGATCGTTTTAATCATGATGACTAAACATTTTAAATCTTAAATTTTTTACAAAAAGAAAATATGTTTGTAACATTCAAAACGAAATATCGTTTTCTAGATATTTTTGCATGATTCGATTGAGTTCAACGACCTTTGAAAAAATAATAAACGTTAGAAAGAACTCCAATGCTGTTTCCAATACAAAACCAGGAGGAAATCAAAAAGACTAACAAGTTTCAAACATCTTGCAATAGAGAGTATATTAAACTTTCAATAAATATATAACGAGTCACCTGTTCTCTTTGTTCAAAAAGCTCGGAAAGGTTATTTTCAGCTTTCCCATGTGACACTGCGTCTCGAGACATAAATTAATAGTCTATCAACTGAATCTATTACGAGTCAAGCATACTCTCTATTGGGAGATGTATGAAATTTTTTTAGTCTTTCTAATTTCCTTGAAGTTTTGTATTGGAAACAACATTGAAGATTCTTTAATATCCATATTTATTTTGTTTTTTTTTTGCAAAAAATGTAAGATTTAAAATGCTTAATCATCATGAATAAAATGATCATAACTTTTCATAATCTTGACATCATTTTAACCATTTTTTTTCAAATGATAGCTCGTCTCATTCTCTACAAAACTGTATATTGTAATCAACTAACCATAAAAATATTTGATATAAGCAAGGTCTATTCACAATGAGGACCAAAACTTTTGAAATATCCTATATTTCTTTTTTTTTTTCTTGAATGAATTTTATTGCTTGTTAGTCTCTTTGGCAACTAATTACATTCAGAAAATGTCCTCTTATATATTATGATTGTCAAAATAATATTTTATCACAAATCAATAATCAACAGTTACTTACAAGTGGATATCTTTTTAATCAATTCAATGAAAATAATGAGCCAGTAAATAAACCAACAAATGTTGAAAAATGTTCTCATGGTGGAGTAATGGATGATTCAGCACATGTACCAGCTATTGGTGGAATTAATAAAGATTCTAATACTTTGATCCTTTCACCTCATTCGAATCTTCAGTAAGTAAACAAATCTCATGTCAACTCTTGCATTGAATATCACTGACTATTAGAAGACGTTTTGTCTACAGATTTTTTTCAGAATGTGATTGATGTATTTCTAAAAGATCTCAAATACTTTATATGTTTTAGTTTTAATGCAGTTGATTTAGCTGTGAATGCGACTGAAGAATTTTTCAATAATCTACGCAAAGACCTTGGAGATGAAAATTTCAACCGACTTTTTATCATCAATCCAACACAAACACAATCTCAAACTGCATCAAATGCAGTTAAAAATGGCAAACGATTTCGATTTTTTACATCATTTCTTTCAGTTAGTTTGAAACAAGGTGATGGTCTTCTTGCGGATCTAAAAAATTGGATCACAAAACGTATTAATATGATTAAATCAATACTAACTGGTTTATTGTTTGGTCAAAATACTCTTGATATACCAACATATGATTTAAGTGACCTAGGAGTTAATGTTAAAGATGTGAATAATTTTCGTGCAGCACCTTATATTCTCGAAAGTGGCAACATCGGACGCAAGAAACGTTTTATTCATGTTCTTCGTAATCGTCAATAGTTTAATGCCGAGTACTCTTGTTTTGAAGTTGTTGATGGATTTTTTTTAAATAAATAGATTGTGTATATGATTATTCACCTGAAACTATGACGTGGAAATACAAAACAATAGAAAAAAATAATAAAAAAGTATTAAACACAATAACGAATATTACGATGACACAATCTGCATCGTTATAACGAACGTATATACTCTAAATAAAGGAGGAATGTCCAAAAACTGAGAAACAGAAAATTTCCCTCAAAATTTATACAGTTATACGATGGAGAAAGTAAAAAACAAACAAAATGTAAAGTGTTTTTTTTTTGCTTTTATACGCATACCCATAAAGAAATGTGTGGTCTTGAAAACTATTACTGAAAATAAGTTGCTTTGCTTGTTATGAACAGCCGAACTGCAAAGAAGATGATGGTCTATCCTCAGTTTCCTGAGGAACTATCATTATGATCGCTACATCATCAATGTTTCAAATGAGTGATGAATTTTTCTTTCATCTACTTTTGTCATTTGTCCATTGAAAAGATCTGTGAGCAACCGATGAAACGTATACAAGTTAATAACAATGCTGCAGCAAGGTAATTACTGTGTAATCGTGTGGAAAGAAAAGAACGCAAGGCATTTTTCATCCCAAATACACGTTAGAGTTAAAGAATGCTAAACCAAGTGATATGCTCTCGGTTGTAAAAATGACCAGCATATGTAGAAACATGTCTATAACGAAATGTTGTTTCAACTTTTATTGTGATGATAAATGCTCTTATTTACAATATACGCGATTAACGATTAGAATGCTTTGTCATGATTAAATACGAGAAAAATCATAGCAATTCCTTCTTCTCTTGATAGTAAGACTTCTGAGGTGTTTAAATAGGAGAAAAAAAAGCAACACTAAACAGTGATTTTTATTTCAAGTGATATAAAATACTTCGATATAACGCAATTCACAGTGTTTTTTCAGTGATATTGATGATAAATGCTTCGGAACGGTTGTAAAACCACCCTCTAAGCTCCTTTCGATGGTTTATTCAAATGAAGTACTTTATAACTAGTAAAATGAAGGGCTTTAAAGAAGCCTAATGACGTGTGAGTTTTTCTCAACTACCTTCAAATAGCTTACGAAAACACAGATGTTTATATGAGTATAAAAAAGAACAGTACGAATATAACTTTATAATTTGGATACCAATATTTATTAGATGATTTTTTGATATTATAAATGTGTTACTGAAAGCAAACTGAACCAAACTCAAACGAATAATAATATGTTTGATTCGTTCTCTGCTGTATATGTTGCTATGTTATCAATCATAATTATCTATATAAACATTAGTTATTTTTGGTTTACACGGTTTTTTTCGTTCTTCTGTCATTTATTTGTAACCATCGACGTAATAAGTACTATTCAAACGCAAAATGCGTCAAAGTCATGATCAAAACATAATTACTAAATCACAAAGAGGTTTTTTCCAACTAATGAAAGAGCTAAAAAAGAGGAAGTAGAATGATGCATGTGAGTCGTTAAAAAAAATATATAGTTAAATGATATTTGGTGTAAATAATAAAATACAAGTATTATGTTTCAACACTACTATAGACATCCTCATCGATCACCATATGGACTTCAACGTTTTCACCGTATGCAACCCAGTGTTATTCGATACCGAAAACCGCGAAGATTTTATCAAAACACAATGATGCGTAGTCCTGCTCATTATTCTCCACCACCTCCTGTGCCAGAAGACGGTTTCTTTTCTACTATGCTTTCTGCGCTTGCTGCATTATGTGGTATCAACAGAAATCCAATGCGTATACGACCAATAGGCGGCGGTGGTATTGGTGTTGTTAGTGGTCATGGTGGTAGTCATGGTGGTGGTCATGGTGGTGGTTGTGGTGGTGGTCATGGTGGTGGTTGCGGAGGAGGAGGTGGTGGTGGTGGTTGTGGAGGAGGAGGCGGTGGTGGTGGAGGAGGAGGTGGTGGTTGTGGAGGAGGAGGCGGTGGTGGAGGAGGAGGAGGTGGTGGTTGTGGAGGAGGAGGCGGTGGTGGTGGCGGAGGAGGTGGTGGTTGTGGAGGAGGAGGCTGAGGCAGCAATTAAGATGATCAACATTATCGATCAAATGAACACGAGTGATACTAATATGTATAAATGTTTATTGTCATTACTAACATATAGCAAATTGAAATAAAGAAAAAAAACTTAACTGAAAATTGTAAAAAATAGACAATATGCATTTAAAACAACACATATTCTTGATTGATTGTTAGCTACTTACGTAGGACGATGCAAAATTAGTGGTGATGGTATGTTAATTGCTTATAAAATATTTAAAAAATTCCTCTCTATATTTATTCTGATAGTAAAAACAATGCTCTTTTTATCTCTTATATTCGATCATTCTTGAACTAAGTTCATAATGTTAAAACCTTGGTAAGCTTCGTATCATGATGATATATGACGGTTATATTAGATCATATTTTGTGTTCAATGTGTGTT